TTTTTAATTCCAACTTAAATTTGGCCAATACAATTCCTGGGTGTTGGGAACATTACTTACATACATTTTAGTATATTTAATTTAGAACCTCCAAGATAATTACAAAGATATGAAAAGTAACAATTTGAAAACTGTCMAGATTAATTCCAGACTATTTAATCCAAGAGATTTAAAGAAAAGGGGTTAGGTTCAACAAGCAGATCATCCCCAACTCTTTTCRGGGGAACACAGGGAGATGGGTGCAGTGGACTTTATTGATGGTACCTAAAAGAGTAGATTCCCTAATCCCTTCCCTTATTCAGAAGATCTGAGATGGAAACTGGGAAGAGGGGACAGTGGTTCTCAGTGTGTTTGATGACTGAGTTAAGGCATGGATTCCACAGCAGCAGAGAGGCCTCTCTTTTCCTCTCATGATCTCACTGGGAGCCAGGCATGGTGATGCAGGCCTATAATCCCAACAACTCAGGAGGCAGGAGGATTACAAATTCAAGGGCAGCCTCAGCAACTTAGTGACACCCAGTCTCAAAATAAAAAATAAAAAGGTCTGGGAATGTGGCTTAGTTGTTAAGCACCCCTGGATTCAATCCCCAGGGTACCAAAAAAAAACCAAAAAAAAAAAAAACAAAAAACAAAAAAAGATATTACTGGGGCTGGTGGTCCAGGGGCTCCTACTCTTTGGAGGCCATAATGTCACTGTCCTATTGCTGTACCTAAATTCTCTGTCAGGACAGAAAATGAGCCTGACAAAAGTCATCACTGAGGGCAGCACCAGCCTTAGCATGGAAGATGAAAGAGTGGATGTCACTAAATTTATGACTGAGGATACCTGCTTCATCACTTTTTTTTCGGAGGGGGGGGGGAGTGTCCCAGGCATTGAACCCAGCAGGGATGTAGCTCAATCTCCAGTACCTAAAAAAAAAAACCTCAGCAAGGCATACTGGGTTGGTGGTTTAAAATGTTATCTTTGGGGGCTGGGGATGTGGCTCAAGCGGTAGCGCGGTCGCCTGGCATGCGGCCTGGGTTGGATCCTCAGCACCACATACAAACAAAAATGTTGTTTAAAATAAATATTTAAAAATTCTCTCTCTCTCTCTCCCTCCCTCCCTCCCCTCTTTAAAAATAAATAAATAAATACATAAATAAAATGTTATCTTTGACTACAGAAAAGGAAGGTGACATTCTTGCTCCTTTTCACCAACAGGTAGTTGCTATCAAATATAAAACTTAAATTAGGTCTATTAATAGTCACTTTTACAGCTAGGTAAAGAAACAATCCCTGTGTAAAACTGTTTCATAATACATTCCAATTCAACAACTAATTGACTACCATAGTTGAAGTTGCCACAGGAAGCGAAGAGGATGAAGAGTACCMGGAAACACATTAAGCCTCATGAGAGAAAATAGGATATGGGAAGACATATTTCAGTTCCATTTTAATGTTATGATTATTGTTTCTGTGCACTATTTACCTAAGCTGTGTCTCTAGGTCTGACCTATCTTCTATTTGCTATGCCTTTCCACGTGCACTACCTACAGGACATCCAAAAATTTCAACAAACCAAATCAAAATTATCTTCCTGTATAATTCCAATCTGCCGGCCCAGTTCCCTACTTGGTAATTTGTCTAGTCACTAGACCTAAAAAGGCTTCTTTCCTCACCCTTCATTCCAATGCTCCAAAACAAGCTGTCTTTACATTCCCTCTGACAATGTTCTAAATGCCCTTTTCTCTTTTGAGCTATTAAAATATTTATGTTCAAGTGGTCTTCCTGTTTTGTTCCCTTTCCCACCTTTTCATAACAATTTTGTTTTTKAAGAATCTCATTCCTTTCCTCAAATCTGATGATTCTGCCATGCTTACATAATAAAGCTGAAGCTCTTCAACATGTTGTTCAAGGGCTGGGGATGTGGCTCAAGCAGTAAGCAAGCTTGCCTGGCATGTGTGCAGCCCGGGTTCACCACATACAAAGATGTTGTGTCCGCCAAAAACTAAAAAATAAGTATTAAAATTCTCTCTCCCTCTTAAAAAAAAAAAAAACAAAAACATGTCGTTCAAGGGCCTGTGTTCTTACCCCAATATACCTTTCAAAGACACTTAATTTTTCTCTACTTGAGCTGCTGGACATTCTAAATCTTTTTTACATTATCTACTCACTTTTACCTCTATATTTTCCTCTTCTGTGTCAAATACTATTGACTTTTTTAATATTCAGTGTTATTATAGAAAATGTGCTATTTTTTGTCATTTTGATTTACATTTAATGTTTACTTCTATCCTAATTGTTACATATTCATCCACACTTCTAATTTATTCTTATGCAAGATATCTTTGTTTTAAATCTTCTATGTGTAAAATTGTTTTAACTGTCTTCTGCRATGCTGGCATAGTAGTAATGAATTCCTTTCTTTTATGCTAATCTTGTTAGGTTTTTATTTCACTATTGACTATTTTAAGATCCAACTCAATACTATTTTTAAGGGGTCAGATTCCCTAAGAGAAAATTCCTAGTTACCAGAATTAATCACTACTTCCTAGGAGAAACAATTTTCTTTTTTACCTCTTTAGGTATTTGTAGTTGTAGGAGAGAAAAATGCAGTATTTTAGTCACTTTTTTCTCCCTACACTACCTGCAGTGAACTTTTATTTATCCTTTCATTTCCTGAACATACTTTACAATAAATCCTCACACTGAATTGCAGACATTCTGCTGGACAAATGGCAAACAAGGGGAAGGGATGGTTAAGGCAGTTTATTATCCAAACTGCAAGAACTCTATAATCAAGTGCAAAAATTATTARACCTGTGAATGTGTCATTTTCAGATATTTGGGAAATGTCAATTCACCCAAACCAACCCATTAGTTCTTATAATGTCATTAGAAAAAGGTAAAATTGGTGACTAAAAGTTTAAAGAATTTTCTAACTATGATCTGAACTTCTAAGTTTCCAGGGCTGAGGACAAAGCCAGTGTTAGATCACATGCCTAGCAGGGTCAAGGCCCTGCGTTTGAACCCCACCACCACAAAAGAAAAAAAAAAACTTTTCCACCTATTTAAGAACAACTTTTATCTGTGAGCAGAATTTCAGCTCTCAATTTCCTTTCCCTTTCTCTCCTGGGCCCTAATGCTTGTCTTCCCTTGTCACCTTTTAGCTCTCTTAGTTACAAAACCAGCTCCCCCTCTTGGTAAACTCAAACCACTTAATTAGGCTTCTCTCCAGCACTACTTCTGGAATAATTAGGAATAAGGCAGGGGTGGGTGGCTTTGAGCTATGATGGCCCAAGATCTTCTTTCAGACATCTAAAAACACTTATGTTTTTACATGAGAACTTGCTGGAGGTGACTGGACATCAAAGAACCTAGCCAATCCACTGTAGCCAGAGYAATGCACAGTACTCATTCTACCCTCTCACCAAGTTTATACCAGCTGTGCCCTCTTTCCCAGGTCCATTCTGGGCCCTGGTGCTAAGAGGCAGAAACACTGGGATGGGTGTCTTTGTTTTCTTCCCTCTCAACATTACAAGTTGAACTCAGTCTTTTCAACAAAGAGGTAAAGATAAGAGCAAGAACTGACTTTTAAAAGATAGTTTGAAGTCAAGTACTAGACAAAATTCAAATTATTTTCCTCAAGCATGGAATGATGGGATTCAACTCAAATTCCATAATTATACAACATGCTAGCTTTACATTCAAATAAAGGGAAGCAARGGGTTACAAATTACCATGCCCAAAACCTGAATGCTGTTTTCATTTATAAACTATAAAACAACCTAAAATTTGCATTAAGAAGTACTTTGTAAAGAACTACTCCTTTTAAGAATATACTTTGATCTTTTACTACCTTTTCCTTTACCTACAAGGAGATACTTAACAATGCTTGGTACCAAAATTAATGCAAATAAAAAGCTCTTTCCATAATACCACTAAATGATTTTAATAAATTCAGTATAAAATTATAAATATCTAGAAACTTCATTAAAGTACTAACCATACTGCTATTTTTTCTATACCTACGTGCCCCTGAATTTAACAATTTTTATTCTCATATAAACTTTTCACTTCATTGCAATTGAGCCCCTTTACTGGAGACACTAATTTAAATTTAGTTCTGAAGCTGGACACATCCTTCACTTTACATACCCACAAAACCAAACAAATTGCAAAAACATGGGAAGAAATGTTAAGGCATTCATTCTATCAAGAGAAAAATCCAAGTGCCTGAAAATAATGGGCCTCTATAGAGCATTTTACACCAAAAGCTATTTAACTTTTAAATTCACTAATACATTGTCACTGAATATATATATCTACACTGCAACTCAACTGATTTTGCTCAAAGTTTAAGACCTATTTTAATACTTTATCTTAAAGTATCTTAGTCAGCAACCTTAAGCCATTATTTTCAAATTTTTAATCAAGTGTTAACTTATTGTTTTCAGGAAGTCTTATTACCAGGTTCACTATTTTCATTACTTTAATCACCTGTTTCTCTAAATGGATTTTTAAAAGCCAGGATGTAATTTTGTGTATAGCTAATCTCTCTGCATATAAAATGTTACAGCCAGTGGCAAATGACACATGTGCTAGGTTGATACAGATCTATGGCCATTTCTCAGATTTTGTGGTGACAGCCTAAGAGTTATCATACCCTGCCAGCACTGCTTACGAAAGTTATTCTATGCCTATACTACTACCTCCACCCTTTATGCAGCCAGAAATCTCTTCCCTCCCTTTTTGTATGAACCAAAGGATAATATATATATAAAAGACACTCCAAGAAACACTTTCCTCATCTATACCATTTTTCAGGAACCATGTACTTTTTTTTCCTGTTACCTGGGATTGAACTCAGGGGTAATAACCACTGAGCTACATCCGCAGCCCTATTTCTTTTTTGTATTTTATTTAGAGACAGGGTCTCAGTGAGTTGCTTAGTGCCTTACTATTGCTGAGGCTTTCATGTACCCTTTTAGCTCCTTTTTATCCTTTTCATGTTTAATTACTACCCACTYAGAAAAACTTCCTTTTTGTTGAGATTAACTAAAACCCGTAAGGGAGAGTCACATTTTTCGAATTTCTCAGTTGGAAATATACACACATGCACTCACACACACTATTGGAAACAAGGTTCCATGTCTCTACTTTTGACAAAGTACAAGCACAGCYGTATTTATCCTCAAGCAAGCTTTAGGATTTAGATTTTTCTCCATC